ACGCAGCAGGAAAAGGAAGCTGCGCCGAAGGAATCGACGCAGCCGGAGGTGGAAGCTGCGCTGAAGGAGTCGACGCAGCCAGAGTGGAAGCTGCCGCCGAAGGAATCGACGCAGCAGGAAAAGGAAGCTGCGCCGAAGGAATCGACGCAGCCGGAGGTGAAAGCGGCGCCGCAGAAGGAGACGACGCAGCCGGAGAGAGGAGCTGCGCCGGAGACGAGGAGGCGAGAGAGAGGGAGCCTGCTCGGCGAGGAACCTATGGAGCTCGGCGACGGGTGGAGGAGCTGCCATTGCGGACGAGCTGCTTGCCAGTCTCCTCGGCAGCGAGAGCGACCCCAGTGGCAGGGGTCAAATCCAGTCCCCCAAAATCGGCGAGAAACGCGCCGCCGCACGTGCAGAGGGCGCTCCCCACCAGGACGCAGATCCTGGAGGGGGCGGGTCCACTGTACGGCCCGTTTCGGGGGTCGTCGCGAGCCCGCCAGCTGACTCCCTAAGGAACGAGGCCTGGCACTGTGGTGCGTTCGATGCGGCGTGCCGACCTGGCACGTGGTCGACCACCCGCCGAGTACCATCGGCGGGAGGTATGGTCGCTCGTGCCCGATCCAGGGGTTGTGACAAGGGCCTACTCAGGCGCGGTGCTGTACCGCTTGTCACGCCAACCTGGCGGCAGCGCACCGCCTCAGGTCGGGTCTACCGCCATGGGCGCCGTCGGGAGGTGGCCGGAGCGGACACGCCCGTACCCCCGAGTACCGGGGATGCGCGAAAGGCTACCTCCGGGAGAAGACGGCGCTACGCAGAAGCGCCCAGAAGGTGCGCGCGTCGTCACCACCAGCCGGCCGACCCATTCTGCGCCCGGCGCGTAGGGATGGTGGCCATTACGCGCAGGTACGCGGCTGGGCGCCAGCACGCCTAGGTCTGTTCCTGCAGCTGCCGCCCCGGCCTCTTGAAGCGGGGTCGGCCCACCGCTGCGCGCCCCAGAAGGCAAAAGTGCACGGCTGCCAGTTAGTGCTGCCTGCCACGGAGCGCACGACGTCGGACTGTGCGCGAGGCGCACGACGTCGACTGCCGCAGGGCGCGCGACGTCAGCTGCGCGAGGCGCGCACCGTCGACCCGGACGGAGCGTGCTGACGTCAGCTGCCGCGAGGCCGCGCACCGTCGACCCGACGGTGCGTGCGACGTCAGCTGCCGCGAGGCGACGCACCGTCGACCCGGACGGAGCGTGCGACGTCCAGCTGCCGCGAGGCGCGCACCGTCGACCCGGAACGGAGCGTGCGACGTCGGCTGCAGCCAAGCGCGCACCGTCGACCGCGACAGAGCGTGCCGACGTCGGCTGCAGCCAAGCGCGGACCGTCGACTCGGGACGAGCGTGCGACGTCGCGCTGCAGCCAATGCGCGGACCGCTCGACTCAGGGACGGATGCGTGCGATCGTCGGCAGCAAGCAGCACACAACGACGAAGGCGGCGGCGTCGATGGGGGCGGAAGCGATGCGCAGACGGGACCGGCAGCGGTCGGCGAGACGATCCGTCGACTGCAGCGACACGACCCCATCAGCTGCGTTGGCTCGGGCGCCCCGCCGCGGAGTCCTCCGCGTCGACGTCCGAGCCAGCCATGGCAGCTGGGTCACTGGAACCGATGTGCCTGAAGCACATTCCGGCCGCGAACGGATCGGTGTTCCGGGCGATTCTGTAGCATGTGGGAGGATCGCCGGAGCCGCGCAAAGCGAGGACTGGGACTGTCCTCGGCGTTCAGCAGCGCAGACGGCACGCCGGCACCAGAACTCGTGCACCAGATGGGGTGGAGCAGCTTGAGCAAGCCGTCCTCTGGGCTCAACACCACCTGCGGCCACGCGCGGGTGGTCGAGATTGCGTCCCGTGGGGGAACTCAGTAAGGAGGGCGGAGGCCATGCAATCCCTGTTGAACCCCGGGGACAAGCCACCCAGCAGTAGGTGCGGACGAATAGGGCGCCGGTGCACCGCTGCGAAGGCCTTTGGATCGACCTGACGATCGAATCTTGAGGGGGGAGGAGTGTAGCGGTGGGGGTGTAGCCCTGGTACCGGGAGATGGGGAGATGGTGAATGTTTGTCATTGTCTAATTGTTTTGTCTTCGTGTCTGTTTTGTCGGGGGTTTGCTTACCGATCGTAACATCAACAAAGGGGGGCGCATGCGGATGCAGTGGGTCCCCTCTAGCGGGAGTTCGGCAAAACAGTTGGCCCGGCAGGTGATAGGCGGGAATTCGCCGTTGTCTCGTGGTAGTTGGCGGGTAGGAGCGAAGGAGAGAGGATCGGACAATATATATTCACAATATATGTACTAATACAGGGTTTCTTCTGAGGGAAAATTAGACAAAGGAGGTGTAATGGCCAGTTTGGGGGAAAAAACACGCATGATGGATTCAAATACAGGATGTATTGATATACTATATGGTATAATAGATACAGGATATACTTATCAGTAAATACAGGAACATTTTCACAACGGCGATGTTAAATTTGACAACTGCAGTGCGCCACTGTGCTGTGTGTTTAAGAAACCCTGTAATATACATATATACACATACATAGATATACTAGACAATCAGAAGTACTGTACGGTAAAATAGCGATAGTGGACACTCTGCCATATACGGTTAAATATCCACTGCGTAAAACTATTATATATTTGAACGGAGTTTGCATGGAATTATTATTCAATACAACAATAGAGTCAAACATCAAGACTTTGGTAGTACCTGCAATTACTTTAGTCCCGAACAGACTACCAGGAATAACTTTTTTTTACACAAATTTTGTTTCATCTGCATTTCAATACTACTAGCAATGGTGTGATGTGCACACAGAAAAATACACTTAAATGTTTTATCATCCCACACCTTGCATCAAAAAATGACATCAGATTGCGGCCTCATGTTTGTGAAGAAAATATAAATTATATAATTTTTTTTTTCTCAGCATCGGAGAAAACATAAAGTTGCTCATTGGTAGGCCGGACGGTACTTACTGCTTTCGTTTGCACAATGACCGGGTCTATTATGTTAGGTAAGTGTGAACAATAAAAGTGACTGAAACTATTTATTTATTGTAGGATATATTGAGCATTTAGTATTGCTATGTTCAACTAAGAATATCAGTGTAGCTTGAATAGAGTGTCTTGAATGATGCACATCACTTGGGAGATTTTTGGGGGGATTCTTACCTGCACTTTGTTTCTCACTTTCGTGCACATCCTATCACATGTTCTCCAACCCAGTTCTCACCCCTAATTTTGCACGTTATTGCTATATATTATGTTTTCCTCCTGCAACAACACCACACAGGCAATTACACACAAAAATTTGTCAAAACACCACCTACTCCCACTATTTAGATGAGACTAGCATCTATTGAGAGTGTATATATAATTAAAGAATAAACTCAATCAGGAAAAACGTAAAAATACGTACTGCTTCATGTAAGGTATTCGTTCTATGTAAGTAGATTCACTATATAACTACTGTATTCACAACTCTCAAACATTCTTTATATAAAGACGCGCATTCTATAAAGCTGCCTGGTCTCTAACACAGGTTTAATGTGGAGGCTGTCGAGGGTCGAAAGCACCAGGTATCACCAGGCGGCGCTGCACGACAGGTAGCCACCAGGAGGCTCTTTGCAGGTACTAATGTGTGTACTATCAATCATTTTAATACTGTTACTGGTCGGTTAACACTCGGCCCATGTGTTCACGCACGCAAGCAGTTATACAGTTAAACCACCTACGTAGAATGAATGGGTTACTTTTGTATGAAGCACACTTTTGATGTTTCTTTCGAGGAGTCTTTACACAGTTACAACGTTTTTATAAAGGCCACATTTGTCCTTTTCCTCAATCGGAAATGCCTTCTCTGGTAGCAATTGCTTGGGTGAAACAGTTAGTTTCTAATGCGCTGTGTTTGCTCGCACGTCTAGGATGTGCAGACGGAGCTCTACCTGGAGGAACTCGGGGACAGGGTAGAGGAGGCAGACGTGCAGTGCCAGACCGACTCATTCCTCGTCCATCCCGCCTCTCTGTTGTTCATCCTCGAGAAGACGGGAGTCGAAAAACAGATCTACGATGGCGACGTGAGTGCAGCGCGAGCGCGTGCGAACGAATGCAGACGCGGCGATTGTCGCCGGGAGGTGTGGGGGTCGGTCCAGTTTTAGTTTTGTATCGATGAGGGCAAGGCGAGCGTTGCCCTCAGGTTTAGTCGAAACTTTCTAGGGCACTGCAGCAGGTCAGAGCTTCACCGCAGCAAAGATCTCCTTCGGACGAAAGCATCGTTGTTATCGAGGCAAATTACTTCTAATCGAGACGTTTTACATAAGACAGATCGGTGCGCGTATACAACACTGAATGCATGGGAAGTGCACGGTGTTAAATCGGGTGATGTAGTCGCGGCGGTGATTTCCGATTCTGGCTAAAGAGGTTTGAGGTACTGCTGTGAGAAGATGAGGGAGCCTACGGCACTCGAGTTTAAGCCGAAAGAAAAATGCAGGGCGAGATGCATTCTGGGGCTCGTTGCCGGGAACTTAGGTCCGATTAATCTCGACGTTAACTTTTTTCTCATACGAGAAACGTTTTACACGCCGCGTACAAGAAACTTCGTAACTTCACCACGTTTCCATCAACAGTCTACGATAACAAAGTTTACGTTTAGCAGATCATGTAGAGACCAATCCTGTTTCCGCCTACGGGCCACATGATCTCCGCCTGATCCCAGCTGGCAGACGTATTCTGATCCCTTCAGCCTTCTCTTTCTCTCTCTCTCTCTCTTGCCGGCAGCTGTTCGAATTTGAAGTGGAGGTGACGCCGATACTGGAGGTACTGGTGGGGAAGACCCTGGAGCAGGCATTCCTGCAAGTGATGGAGGAAAAGGAACTGGCGGGGATGTGCGCGCAGCAGCAGGCTTTCTAGAGCTGCGCAAGGCCGAGCTCGTCGAGACGCGGAGACTAGAGGAGAAGGACAGGAGATACAGGGAGAAGAAGGTAAGGTGTGAAAGAGAGAGAAGGGGAGATGACACAGAGAGGCAAAGATAAGAGAGAGGATAAGGAGAGGTGACACACAGAGGAGATGGTAAATGGGAAAGAGGATAAGGACAAGCGAGATAGGGGGGAAAAGTCAAGATGTCAGTGAGGAGGAGAAGAGGTGACATAGGGAGAAGAAAGTAAGGGGAAGTGTGAGGATAAGGAGAGGTGACACAGGGAGGGGAAGGTAAGAGGGTGGCAGAGAAAAGGTAAGGAAAGGCACACCTTTGAGCTATATGTTTGAGATTTCAACTTGATATTTTAGGATATTTATATTACAACCATACATTTAGCGACGAATAAACTACAGCCACAACAGTCTTCTTCGTGCTTTCGATCTTTTTACTCAACCAGGCTGAATAACGGTTGATGTGTGTTTGTATGGCGGACAGGTGCGGCAAATGCAGCAGCAGAAGGAGGTGCAGGAGTTGGAAGCCGACACGTCGCAGAGGGTGTCTGCGTGTGCCTTCACTCAGGGATGTCTTTCAGCCCTCGTGCCCTCTGTCTTCTCCTGTCTGACCGACAGCGGATACTTCTACGACCCCATGGACTGTAAGTACCATCTCACATGCATGCACGCACATTGCACACGCATGCACTCGCTCTTCTGCCTTTGCATGGAAGAACACATTCGCGATACATTAATTTCACGATTTCATCACTACGTCAGATCAATTGCATCGTAAGGATACGCCGCACACTCGCTACGCTCACGACGTCATGAATTAGTTGATGTGTATTTGATGTAATGTTAGTGATTCCCTTAGTTATGCAGTTGCCATTACGGATGTCCCGTTTGAGTAAGAGAAGCGAAGAAAGAAAGGAGGAATCCAGAACTTCGCTAATGTGCTTTGTTTTCGTGCTTTTCAGCGATCATACGTGATTTCGTAAAAACCAGAAAGAGAGAATTTGAGAAGCTGGAGGCTGCTAATCTCGTTGATGCACTGTAGATGGCAACACTGGTGTGCAACTGTAAATACATGGGAGTTGTGTGGAGTGCTGGTGGTTGAATGCCTTGTAAACCTATGATTGAGCTTGAAAATACAAGTGTCTCTTCCTTTTTTTATATCGAAATCGAATAATGATGTCAAGGTGTTGTAAAATGACCGTATTTTACGTATTCAAAGAGTAAACCAAATAGATGGTTTATCTGGTTATTCCATCTGCCGACAACCCTGGTTGGCAGTTATAATTTGTCTACTAGTAACCATCTACCCATGTAAATATTACTACCCAATAGAATTGATAATCTACCCACATTCCATTCCATGTAATGTCTAGATCACATCTATCCTACAAAAAGTCTAACACGTAGAAATAGGGCTTATATTACTATAAACAAGCTAGACAGCTTTTTTACACAGTTATTACTAAGCTTCACTAGGCTGTGTTACTTTCATGTAAACTGCTATTACTACTGTCATTCCCTATTACCAGGAATGAATAATGACAGACTGTCATTATTCGCCCGTGCTTTTGCTAAACGCATTTATAACATCATTGTTCATGGTTAAATCCTTAAATTATTTACCTTGACAGTTTCATCTACATAAATTTCACTACACGCATTCTGAAAGATTAAGCTAAGCTTAAGGTGACATGTGACTTCATTTCCATCACCCCGTGCACAGTTCTTTGAGTTCATGTTGTTATTTTACAACATATAGAAAGTTAGAATATTTGATATATAATATTTGACTGCCACATGAAGTAGATCTCTCATTTGTCAAACAATGTATCTTTCTTAAATGCTATCATATTAGAATGAAACGATAGTGTCAGTGGCTGGTTTGAGATGTGTTATATATTTGCTATATGATATATACTAGCTGAAAAATAAAACATTGTTACTAAATCTTGGGACTTACTCAATAAATTATTCTACCGTGTCAGTTAGAGTTGGTGGAAGCAGGATGTGTGAGAGAGGAGGGGGAGTGGTAGAAAGAGGGGATAGGAGAGAGAGGAGGAGGACATGAAGCTAGAGAAGAGGAGAGGGGAAGCCAGAGAAGAGGAGGAAGACAGAGAGAGCCATAGAGTAGGAGGAGAGAGGAAGCCAGAGAAGAGGGGGAGCGGGGTGAGAAAAGAGGCAGAAAGAGAGATCAGAAGGAAAGGGAGGCAGAAAGAGTAAGGAAGTGAGTAAGAGGGAGAAACGGGGATAGGAGAGTATATACATATATATATATAGCGCCCGAGTAAAACGGACGCGCACACACACGCACAATTTCCATTTCAGTGTTGAACGTGCGTGCGTGCGTTCGTAATATGCTTTGCGTACTTGTCTGCAATACGTTTACCTTTACACAAGTTAGAAAATATTTTTGCAAAGAATTAACGGGGATTCGAATCCCAGTTTCATAATTGAAAGGCTAGAGTTCTAACTAGATGTACTAACGAGACACTCGTGTAGAGCCAGGTGGTTTTACATAGATACATATATGCACATTACGGACGCGACAATTCCTTTCCCTCTGTCTTTTTACGCCGCCTCCAGCGGTAGTATCATGGCGCATGACCTAGCTCAAGCCTGGAAAATCTTTGCAGCGACAAATGCAGCCGTATTTCAGCCTGAACTTTTTCACCCCCAAAAGCACAAATAGTGGATTTTCGGCCTATGATACGTGTTGCTCAGTCACAAAATCACA